CTAGATCTCTCTCTACCTTGTTTTTGAGACAGGGTCTCTCAGCGAAGCTACAGCTTACATTTTAGGCTAGGCTAGCTGAACATCAAGCCCCAGGAATCTGCCTGTTTTGACCTTCCCAGTTTTGGAATTACTGACACTGGCTATCAGATTATGTTTTTAAAAATGTGAGTCCCAGGTATCCAAACTCAGACCCCCATACTTGTGGGTCAAGTACTTACTAAGTCACTTCTCCCACATCCCTTAGTTCTCTTTTTAATAGCAGCATATTAGCATATTGTATAGGGTAAAGGGTCACATTATAAACCCCTTTGCGTGCTCAAGTATGATTTAGTTAGGATAAAAGAGCTTACTCTTAAGAGAAGAGTAATAGCACCGTTTAAGTGCCTCCTAGCCTCAGTATTTTATAATTTACCACTGGAAAGGTTCCCAAGCATCATTATACTATCATTATAAACACATCAGTTAAGGAGGTATACAATGTTTGCTATTGGGATGTTTTTGGCATCAGTATTATTTTTACATTTATTTAAAAAATATTCAATGTATACCATTCCTTCTTTTTGTCTTTCAAACGAATGCTACACATTTAAATCTTTGAATCTTTAGTAATTTCTTTGTGCTAGAAACCCTACCTTTTTCTTTACATAAGCAAGCATGAAGTTAATAATTTAAACATCAAGGAAATAGGACATAATAAACATTTGACATATATTTGTCAGAAGATATCGCATAATATTTACCTTTTAAATATTGATGTCATAGCCTCTAAACCACATTAAAGAGAATGGTTTCAGGTTATTTCTGATGAGATGGAATTTCAAATCACCAAAGCAAATCAACTGAATCCTTCTGTTGGTAGTTGATTTTAGATCTCAGAATATTATTCCTGTCCATACTAGGGGTTCATATTACAGATCATAAATCAAATTTTCTCTAATCCTTTAAGTGTCAAACAATTCTTTGAGAATAAGCCAAGTACTTTTCTCTTTTACATAATGGGATATGAGTTCAGATAAACATTGACGAACATAGATAGGAAAGAATTTTTCATTAAAGGAATACAAAAGAGTTGAACAAGTAACATTTTCATGAATTCACTTAGGTTCAGAATGCAGAAACAGCCAAAGAGCAAGGCATAAAACATTTTTTGTAAACAATAACAAACATTTTGCAGAATATCCCTCCAAGGAATGCCCTTTGACTGCATAATAAAAATGTAGCATTAAAAATACTACAACAAGAATAAGGAATCACATTTTCCTTGAAGAGGAAAGGCAGACCCCAGTGTGTAGATACACTGTGGTTCTCAGGCAGTCTTGATTGAAAGGAAACATCATTGACATCTACATGATAGGATTACTCTTTATTAACAGTAATTTATATTTAAATTTAAAATAATGTCTTTAGAGGATTTATTGGTGCTTACAAGTTTGATTAAAATCTAAGGTAAACCACTGTGTATCACATTAAATACCTGCTTGCTCTGAGATAATTTGCATATTGGTTTGCACATGTAAAAACATATACACATCTTGTTCTCTGATTTAGCATTTATGTGTAGTTGTTTTGGAAGGAAGAGAGTAACTTCAGACCATTAGCAAAATTCTATTACATGCTTCACTGTTAGAAATTGAATTGTTAAAAATATTTGTGGTTTTGATTTTATCTGATACAATAATGCACCATTAAAAAAGATAGCAAATAGACCAAGAAAAGCTTTGCGACTTTTCAACCTCCCAGACAAAAAACAGAAAGGAGCAGGGATCATCACGATGATCACGTGATGGAATATACAATTAAATGAAATGATGCTTGCCGATGTTTTGAATCAAGGTCCCCTAGGGAGGTAAATAAACACAGGGACTTCAGAAATCAATATGCCTACTTTATTTAGACCCTCTTATAAGATTTCCAAATTGAAGATTGATAAAATCACAACAAAGTCGATTTGCTATTTGGTTTTAGGAATTGTTTACTTAATTACTTGTAGACATTGTATGTCAATGATGAATGAAATGTCTGTGCGATTTGTGTCTCAAAGATCTCTTATGAACATATAATAAAGGTACATGGAGCTAAATTGAAGGGTATTTATAAAAGAAAAAAACACCAATAATACCTGTTAAAAGGAATATCATAAATAATTATATTTTGAAAATGACCCATGCTCTAACTGCTTATAACTTAAAATCGTAGTGATAGAATTTTCCCCTTAGTAATTTCTCATTCTGTTACCAATAGCAGTTCTTTTGTTTCTTTAATTGAAATAGATTATATTACTTTGCCCCTCTTGTTTTGCCTTTAAGCCGCTGTTAGCTACTCTCCTTAAAAGTCATTTCATGCTACCTTCTACTCTCAAGTTGATAGTTTCCTTTTCTTGGATTATTACTTTTACACACACACACACACACACACACACACACACACACACACACACCCCACACACTTGTATGTACTGTGTATACTTTTAGGTAAATATAAAATAATATGATTCCTTGAGGTTTTATCAAATAATTGACCACTGGGATCACATAAAACTTAGAAGTTTCTGCACAGCTAAGGAAACATTCCATTGAGTGAAGAAAAACTTCACAGAATTATAGTCTTTCTCAGTCATACATCTGACAGAGTATTAATATTCAGAATATACAAAGAATTAAAGCAGCAGAATAAAGGAAACAAATGACTGAATCTAAACAGAGATATTTTTGTAGAAGACATAGCAATAACTAAGAAGTAATTTGAATAGCAATCATCATCCTTAGCAATTATGAAAATGCAAATTAAAAGAACTTAGAGATTTCATCTCACCCTAGTCAGAATAGCTAATATCAACAAAACAACTGAAAACAAATGCTGGAGAAAATGAAATCCTCCTTAACCCACTGTTGGTGGGGATGTGATTTGTGCGGCTAACTCTGGAAATCACTATGTTGAATCCTCAAAAAGTAAGATAAATCTATCGTATGATCCAGCTATACCATTTCTTGGCATATGCCCAAAGGGCATGCTCTCCTACCTCACAGTTACTTAGTCAGCATTGTTCACTGCCCCCTATTCACAATAGCCAGAAAATGAAAACAACCAAAGTGTCCTTTAGCAGACAGGTAGATTATAAGAATGTGGTAGATACACACATGGAATACTATCCAGTGGGAAAGAAAAATGAAATAATGAAATATGTGGGTAAATGGATGGACCAAGAAAAGATATAGTGAGTAAGGTAACCCAGACAAAAAGACAAACACTGCATGTTCTCTCCTATCCACAGTTCCTAGCTCCAAATCCTCAGATGTGAATATACAACATGGAGTAACCATAGAAACCAGGACAGAATAAAGGGACCATTGGTGGGTGAAGAGCTTGAGAAGGGAAAAAGCAGAATATAAATGACATGAAGCGAGAAACAGAATAATGAGGAGGGGACTACAAATGGGGAGAGGAGAAAAAAAGTCAACACAAAAGGAGACAGGGAAGACCAGGGACAAATGACACCAAGGTTGTTTGATAAAGCCACCAGGAATCATGTCATTTTATATTAAGCTAAAAAAAATATTTCCCCTTTCTATTATTATGGCAAGTGAGAAGTACCTTGGGCTTTTATTTTTGTTTCTGCCTTCCACAGATAATGAATGCTTAGAGAGAGAGATGGAGTATGACTGGGGTGCACAGCTCACTGAACAGTACATGCTTGATGTAACAGCACACACAAACACATGCACAAACATGCTTGCTCATTATAAGGTAAAATAGAAATTTTTATCTATTTACAAAATGAGATGGTTATTTTTGTTCTTTCAAAGCAAATCTTATGTTTTAGGAGAAGCATATTTTTGTTATCTCCAAGGCTTTGGAGGTACTTCTTTTTGATACATTTTCCTGTGGTGAATTTTGAAGTGATGGCCTGAGAGAAGACCTTGTGTGGTCAGGATAAGCTGAAGATAACAATTCTGGATGCAAAGAGGGGTTCTTGGGCCTCTCCCTCTCCACAAAATCTATTGTGAAAATACATGAAATGGAAAGGAGCTAGGCATGTCAGAGCAGGATGTTATGAAGTCCAGGGTCGCTCACCTTTGACTTTGTCAACTAGCCACAATCTAAGATGAATAACAAAATTAAATTTAAAACACAGAAAACAGATAAGTAACACTTAAAAATTTCATATTAAATAAATGTCTTTAGCACTTAAAGGAATTTATTTAATGGATGTTTCTCAATGGGTGGTACTTTGTTGGTTTCTTTGGTTTATGAACGGGTTCCCAGCATCTTGGATGGTATCACTGAGTATTGAATAAAGCTTTAAAATCCTTAGAACCAAGAAACTGTATTATCTAAGCCATTTCTTTTATTGGATTTTGCTTTAAGGTATCATCTCTTGTAGCCAAGGTTGGCCTTAATTTTGTTATAGAGTCAGGAGTAAACTTAAAACTCCTGATCCTTCTGTTTCTGACTCTCAGTGCAAGCTTGCATGCATGCTCCAGTGTGCCAAGGACTGGCAATCCTTAACATCTGAGCAAATGAACTTGTCTTCTCCTTGAGACTTTTTGAGTAATTGTTGTGAGGGGGGAAACTGCTTGTTCATTTCCCGGCTGCCCAACTCCTGAAATAATCATACAGAAACTGTATTGATTAAATAACTGTTTGGCCTATTAGCTCTAGCTTCTTATTTGCTAACTCTTACATATTAATTTAACCCATTTTTATTAATCTGTGTATCACCATGTAGCTGTGGCTTATCAGCTAAAGTTTTGGCATCTGTCTTCAGCAGGGCTACGTGGCTTCTCTCTCTCTGTGCCTTCCTTCTCCTAACATTCAGTTTAGTTTTCCCTGCCTACTTAAGTTCTGCCCTATCAATAGGCCAAGGCAGTTTCTTTATTCACCAATGGTATTCACAGCATGCAGAGGGGAATCCCACATCAAGTAATGAACCTAGTAGTTTGAAGATTGAAAAAAAATGAATTAGCAAGGAAATATAGCTTTCATTTTATTTTTTTTTACAGGCATTATTTGCAAGATGGTCATCTGGAACTCAGAATTCTCCATAGATACATTTTCCACTGATCAACAAAGCACCTCAGATTCTATTATACCATTCGTGTAGGTAGTCTAGAACTTTTTGATCATGGCTATCTGGGGTTTGATGTTATTGTTTGTTTGAAGACATTAAAATTTAGTCTTTAATTTTGAAAACATTAGACATGACTTAAACACTTCTTTAAAGGGTATCTTAAGCAATATGTAAGTGTATATACTAAGCAGTTCATATATATATATATATGAATTTTAATCTTGAAACTATATATATAATATTCAGTATAATTAATCATTGAGGAAAAACAATTTAAATTTACAATTTATCTACCACTTGATGCAAAAGCATGCCAATCATAATGCGCAATGTTAAAAACTGTCAACATCAAATGCAAATAAGTACAGAATGTAAATTCCCATGAGTTTGTTTTGTTTTGTGGAAATACAAAACAATAGTGATCTTCTTGAAAAGAAATATGATAGTTTCTTATGTAGTAGGTACAATACATTTGTTTTCTGTTGATCTTGAAATAGAAGGGAATAAAACTCAAATGAACCTGCTGGAACCATTAAAAACCAAGATACCAAGTTATTTACTAGACCAATGAGGCAGACGTTTATACTGCTCACTTTATATTTTAAATGGAGATCTTCAATTAGTACTAAAGAATACAAATAGAATAGTAATCCTAAGTAGTGTTGAAACCCAACCCAACAGTAGATATTGATTGGACAATCATCTCTATTCATCCACCTGAGAGAACAGAGAATGTAAAGGCTGTATCAGGCATTTACTCCATGGGCCATTTGTGTGACACCACTGAGGGGCAGTTCTAAGGGAAAAGGAGGAACTGACCAGATAGAGTTGTAACCTCTTGTAGCTTATGGCGGAGGATGGAAATTTCATGAGTGTTTTATATTCCTCTGCTTACTGTAACATTTGTTAGATGTTGACAAGAAAAACGCTCTGGAATCAGACTAACTGTTGAAAACAAATTCATGTGTATGGATTTTATGACTAAAGGTAGCATGAAGGGTGAAAGAAAAAAACAATAATGCCAGCAGTGTTTACGATTTAGATAAGCGATCTGGGTGCTTTGCAATAGCTATTCGCTCATATACTGTCTAACTTGATTCTGAGAATTCTGAAGAGCTATTATGAAACTCTTCCTATTTGGTCCATCTGTGATGCTATTTAGCCAGCTGGAGGCCACACAGTGGTCTGTTTCCACCAATAGATCTTGATTACCAAAGTTGCTCCCATGGAGAGGAATTTTCTCTTTTTACTGTCACATGTAGTTTAACTGGGATCTCTTGCGATACATGTTGTTAATCAAGAGAGTTCTGTCCTGGCTGGAGAAGGGAGGTTCCCAGTGCAGGGGAAGACAGTTCTGGAAATCACATGGGTCAGACAAAACTTTAGTAGGTCATGTTCTGCTTGCTGTCTACAAAAGAGAAATCTATTAATCAATTGCCTTTTGTTGAGATCAGTTTTATAACAATGATAATTTTTATGTCAGAAATATAGTCTCTACTATCTCTATGTTTACACACACTCTCAACCATAACACATAAACCTTGGTACAAAAACCAAACTTCCTTCTCAAGTATTTTAGCACCATACATGGTTTGTATGGCCCTGTGGGTCATCACTCTCTTAATTTGCTGAAAGCCCGAGTGCATTTAATAAACACTAGATATTCAAAGCCAAGGCTAGTCATTGTTGGTTATTTACTTCACTTTCCTTCTGAAGCAGGAGAGAAAGCCAGATTCCCACAGCTCTTCAAATACCCCTCCTCCCAACTGGGGTTAGAGAGAGAGAGCTTCTGCCAAAGCAGATCTTATGCAGCTCTCCCTGCCTCATGGCAGCCAGTTTTCCTAAGTACAGAATCAGAATGAATACTCCATCCTGGAACTTTGCATTCCTGATGTGCCCTGACATTTGGAGTAGCCTAGGAGCCAGAGGGATAGCTCAGCAGTCGACTCTGCTTCTTGGGTGATTTGTGTTTTGCTTTTTCAAATCCCTTTTGCAGTTCAGAGTCATTTGTTGGCATCATCTATAAAAGGCACAATAGGGAGAAACCTAGAGTGGTCTTCTAATGGCCCATGGGAAAGGCTTGCATGTGTTGAATGGAAGGTTTTTCTGAACTGTCAAGAAAAAGAAGAAATGGCATTAATTTCCAAATGTTAAAATAGTGATGGAGGAACCAGGGGAAACTTGGAATGCTCAAAATGGGTTAAGTTGCTTAAGCTAGGAGGACAATGGAGGACAGCACATGGAGTGTTAAAATTCATTTCCAGCAGGAATTGTCTTCTTCAGCTTACTGCTTGGATTCAACTAAAATCTTTTACTTGTGAGTATAGGATCTCAGGTGTGAGTTCTACTCAGAGCAACAGCTATCACTGAGAGCTGAGAACAGCAGCCATGTCTATATGTTGCTAAGTGTGAGTGTGGATGCCAAGGGAAGGGTGAAGAGAGCACACAGAGTAGTGGAAATTGTGTTTGAGTAGCTGTACTAGACAGGTGTCTGGAAGCCTGGGTCTTGGTACAATGAATCCATTGCCTTGATGCTAGGAGGAGCTTGCAGATACTCCCTCCGTGTGTTAAAAATATATTTCGTGATTCGACAACATGCTTTATCTTTCTGTTTTAGAAAAGAAGCTGCTATCATTTTGTTAACACCACTGTGGAGTGCTGGGCCACCCAGAAGTAAGATCCTCCAATCTTGTCTTTTGGTGGAGAATGCTCTGGAGATAATAGTAGACCTATCAATTATCTTCCTGAGAACTGACAACAGATGCTTAACTTACCACACCAAAGTGTCATTGTAATAATTGTTTTGTTTTAGCCAATGCCTATTACATTTTAAAAGTGAAACACTTAAACATAATGAGTCAGAATTATAGAATACATATTTTCCGATGATGGAAATATCCTTTGAAATAAAGTTGACTTTGTTTCTGAGTTTCATCCCCACACATAATATGAAGGAGAGGGAGTTTCAAAAGTAAACCTCTATTTCTCTGATTTGTATTTTACCCTTCTGCTATACTCCAATCAAAGAGAATTCAAACATTTATGTGTGTGTATGACTCACCACAATACTTACATGACAGCCTTTTAGCTTGAGATGTCTTTACTTTGGAACTAAGTTATATCAGTTGAATCTTGCTTTAAGTTCTAAACTGGAGTCAATTATTTCATCATTCATTCATTCATTCATTCATTCATAAGCTGAGTATCAAAGCGAGAGCCTTATACATATTAGAGAAATGCTCTACAATAACTGAGTTGTATCTTCACCCCCCAAATTATCTCACTTCCTCACATCTTTCAAATTACACTAATACAAATACCCACCACATCAGGTTGCCTTAGATTTATATGAGTTAATTCATGGAAGGTTCTTAGAACATATTGAAACTCTCATATAATGAACTCTAAGCTCCTAGCTCTTAATTTTACCAAAAGGTACTATTTTGCCATCAAGAATAATAAAAGGTGAACTTAATATTCATTTATCTAATTCCAAAATTTTGTTTTATGAACCCCTTTGATGTACAATTTATGGCTTGTGTGTTTTCTGTAACTATGTAATTCTTATCAATGTTACATCAAAATAGACCTCTGCCCAGAAAACTGAAATAGCCTATTTTGATACAGTTTTATCTCATTCCTTGGGCAGTTTGCAGATCAGCTGTCATACCTGAAAATGTTTGCAAACATTTGAATATCACACACAAGGAAATATACGTGAATTTCACCCCTATTTATTGCAATATGTTGCTCACATATTTAAAAAGAAATCTAGTCCTAATAAGACGATACAGCTAGATTCTATATTACTGTACAGCCCTTGGGCTCATCTAGTACAATGCTCATAAACTTAGAAGCATTATTATTAGGGAGGCAGAGCCTTGCTCATGATTCTTATTTTGTAATTTATTTTCAGCTCATTCAAGTCTTTCTTTCAAAGAAGCAGATGAAAACCTCGAAAATATGGTACTTAAAAATTTTTCCTCTTTCAATTACCTATTCCCTTGACTACTAACTAAACCTTTTCAGTGCCCATTTCTTAAGGAAATGAAGTGCTCATTATAATTGCTTTAGCTGTTGAAGTCAGCTGGAGGCACTTCTAATCGGAACAAAACAGTCTGCAACATAGAACACAGTTCCAAGAACCATCCATAAGCTCCGAAGAACCCTGGCTACCCTGTCAGACACCTATCTGTAGATTGTCTCCTGCCAGATGATGACTGTGGCCCTGTCACCCTGGCCAGTCCCATAAGTCTCATTCACACCCCTTTAATTGGCAGCTTCCCACTCTGGGCACCTCTGTGGCCCTTCTAACGTTTCTTAGGCAGATAACTTTACCCTCCACATTTGGCTGGGAGCCTGCTACTGTGAGATTTTTTTTTCGCTCCCTCTCCCAATGATCACACCAGTTCATACCCTTGAAGTTCCAGCCTAAACAGTTTGCAAAGCGCATTCCACGGCAGTAAGGCATGGAACCTTCAGGGAGTTGGCTAGTTCCTTCATCTGGACAAAGAAGAGATTTGGTCATTGAAGAGGAGGAGATGTGACAGGGTGTTTTCCTTGGACAGAAAGGAGGAGATTATCTTCCTATCAGCTATGGAGAACTGTAGGAAGCCTAGAGTGTGTGGCGTTTGGCTTCCGACACGACTGTGATTGTGGCTGCCTTCTCAGGAGTCCTGATAACAGCTTTGGTGACCTTTGGGTCTGGAAACAGTTTCACTGATGGAAGTCATATAAGTTCAGCTAAATTTGAATGTGTTGTAAATATTTATCTGGCAGCCTGACATACAATTGTTTCTGAAATTAGGGGATAAATCCTTATCTTTCTTAGCATATAATTTTTAAAATGCTTTTCTGGATGGGATTTAAGATTATGCATATAAGAGAGTTATTGTTTTATGCTACAGTTCCTTGGGCTGGGAGTCTCTTTTTAAAAACAGAGGATATTGTCTGGCAGCTTTGGTTTTCTAAATATATTGGAGACAGCAATGAATATTTGCTGAGGGACTGAGCCCCAGTGGAACATAAA